CCCCCCCCGGTCCAAGCCCCAGTGAATAGTAATGCAGGTACAGGGTTTTGAGGTTTTATTTAAGTCCCGTTACCGCAAAACACCGCCCGGCAGCGCAGAGAGCAGGGTGCCCGAGGGGCGACGCTCACCCGCCGTGTCCCACAGCCTCCGCCGGCACAGCCCCAGGGGCCGTGGACCACCCCGAACCCCAAGTCACCACGCGAACTACATTAACACACAGTTCCCCGAAATGAAGCTACTCCCTGCTTCCCTTAGGTAAGGATTGGAAAAGAAGGAAAATATTATTTTTATCTCCCTTTAAAGGGTGACTTCGTTACTTTCGATGCTGTGACGATCTTGAGAATCCTCGGCACTTGCCAGCGTTTGGCTGCTGATATCGTCAGAGAGCTGAGCTGATACGCGGTCCCGGCTCTCCCTGCTTTCCACACTCGAGCGGCTGTCCCCTCTCTCCCTGCTTTCCCCACTCGAGAGGCTGTCCCCTCTCTCCCTGCTTTCCCCACTCGAGAGGCTGTCCCTTCTGACACCAGACTTGCTACTGTCGCCTTCTGCCTCGGGCCTGCTGTCGTTTTCCAAGCTACGGTCATGCGGGTCGCTGTCCGGCTCGCTGCTGTCCTGCCCGTGGCTCTGGTCAGACCATACCACCCTGCTGGCGTGCTTCCTCAGGGATCTGCGGGAAGCAGAATCATCCCGGGAGACAGAGCCCTGGCTGTCTGCATCCATGTCGCTCTCATCTTCCTCAGTGGCATCATAGATGAGCTGTGTTAGAGAGCAGAATAAGAGTCATTGTCACTCCTGAGGAACTGCTCCATCAAGTACTGCACTGATGCAGCCTGCTTGGATGCAGGGATGCTCAAAGCCTGCATGATGAACCTCTGCCTGGAGATACTCTGGTGTTTTATGGAGTTACGTGAACCTTTCACTTTATGAGAAATTCTCATTTGCTCCTGGCCTCAGATTTCATGTGTGCAAGTATATCGTGACAGTGCAAACTGCAGTTTTGCATAGCTTAGAGCAGCAGGTTGCACTCCTGCCCCAGTGCATTGACAGCCATCGAGAGCCCTGATCTGTGGTATCCAGAGAAAGGAAATGCTTTCCTTCACTTATGCCTACTTTCCCTATACCAGTTTTCAAAACCAACTCCCATAAAATGCCATGTCCATTTTCAAGTTCACTCCCCATTTCCAAGAACATGGGCACCACTGGTCAGTGCTATTCACCTTTTTGGTAGCTTTGTGGTGTTTGATAGACTTCAACAGTGCAGCATTTGCCCTCATCCTGTAGGCCACACTGTCACCTCTGCCAGCATTGTCTCCCCGGGTGAAAGGGAAAGTGGGGAATGGTTCAGTTATTGGAATGTCTGTGGGAAAACTCGTGACAACCTCTTCGGATTCATCCGTGTCATTGGAATCATTGTCATCATCATCATCATCCACATCTTCATGGCTCTTTCTTGACACATCAGGAAAGTGCTGGAAAACATTTATTACACATCAGGCAACTGAATACGGATGAGAGAGGTGCAGACTGGTACCTGTCCCATTTGCCAAGGGCATAGGCACTGCTGAGGAGCTATGTGCAGGCACTGCACTGAGTTCACCTCCCCCTGCCTGGAGCTTTGTTTTATTTTAGGAGAGATGTTACTGCAAGAGCCACACTTGAGTGAGGAAAATGAGAGCTGTACCACACTGGCTGCTCTACAGCACTCAATGGACATGCTGTCCTTCAAAACACTTACCAGTTGTTCTGGGACATCTACACTTTCTTCTGAAGAGTAAAGGGTCTGAAAGGAACACAAAGCTCAATGTTAGTACACAAAGGCACATGCAGTGGAGCTGATCAACATGTTGACTATTCTTTAAGCATTTAATCATAACTTGCAAATCCTGGCATGGAAAGATGCTCTGCTTTCTCTTCCAGTTAGGTGTCTGTACCTGCTGAGATGATGCCAGGTCACTCTGTGGGTGCTGCTGACTCTCCTGAGACTGAGAATTCACATGGTCATTGTGATATCTGTGCAAGTGATGGCCCCTGGAGTCCTTCAAGAGAAAATAAAAGGGGGGGTTAATCCTCAAAGAAGCAGGCAAAACTGCTGCATCCCAACCTCTGCTTTCAGGCAGATGCGGCATCTGCAGTACATAGTCCTTTGGTGTGGGATGTGTCCTCAGCTGTTCATTGAAGTAGGAAGAGGACTGAGAACAAGCCATCATCCCAGATGAGCATTGTACCTATAAGATAGATAGATGTGCCTCTCTCACTGGCAGAGCTTGGGGAAAATCAGATCAGTTTCTCCAGTCTTGTTTTTTTTTTTATTGAGTGGAGTTTGGAATTATATCTAACAATCATTTCTTCTGCTAATTCTTAGGGCCTTTCTGGAGGGTGATTTTTCTCCCACCTCATGAAGATTCTAAACTAAATGCAGTAGTTGGTTCTTAGAACCAAGAATTGATCTTACAAGGGTAACAGCTAGCAATGGGGAATGAACTGAAGGGCTATATAACAAGACTAAATGAAGTTCACTTACATCATTCAAAAAAAAAAAAAAAAGGATATTGGATTAAGGTGCTCTTCCAACACCAAATATTGCCATCTGATCCACACTAATGAATATGGGCTATGGTAATTTTGCCATACTGCAGTCCCTTTCTCTTTTTAATTAAGAGCTAACACATTTTTCTTTAAGAAAAAAGATTTCCAGTGCTGGTCTGGAGATAGAACTAATGAAAGTCCACAACCAAGACATGTGACACAGGAAAAAGTCTGTGGATATCGGTGGCTCTCTGCTTTGAAACTAGCTCATAACAGCTAGGTAAGGACATGTTCTGCAAGCACCTACAATCATAGAACAAGTACCAGAAAATGTGTTCTGGAGGAAAACTAACTAACAAACAAACAAAAATTAAAAGGTACTTATCAAAGAAAATTAACAGAAAGACAAAATGACCTTACATATTTTTCTTTGGAGCTGGCAGAAATGGCATGCTGCTTGGATTGAATCACCTTGAAGGGAGAAGAGAGAAAAAACATTTATCAGTGTTTCTCACTGATGTGCAAAGGAAATAATGCAAGTGCTGGGGATAGTGATTTACTCACTGGCCATGCAGCTGTGATGCTGATAAGACATAAACATAGAACTGCCACCTTCATTGTGATATTTTACCTAGAAAACATTTTGGAAAAGTCAGTCAATAAAGTAAAATACCACAAAAATGCTATAGACTTTTCCTTTATCCCCGTGTACTTCACTATGCCAAGACCTGGTCCCTGCTATGGATTCAACTTGCCCATCCTAATTTTATTTCTTCTATCTTCCATCACCACCTCCCACCCACCTTGTAATGATTTAGCAGCTCAAAAAGGTAGAAGGATTTTGAAACTGAATGCTAGGAAGAGCTGAGCAGTGGTGCGAAAAACCAAGCTGAAAAGGTGAACTGACTCCTGTTGTCTACTGACTTGCATAGGCAAATGAAAAGCTCTGTGAAAAACTGTTATAAATACCAGCTTTGGTTTATCTTCATTCACTTAACACAATTGTTTTGAAAAAGAGGCAGGTTAAGGCAAGCAATTT